GTCGACGTTTCAGATATCGATTCCAGACAAGTCCTGAGGGATAATAAGTCTTTTATTGCATCAATAGGAAGCTAAAGTGAGTGCATATGCCCCAATATATAATATTGGCCAAAATACTGTCGAATATGTGTGACATTGTGCCTTTAATTACAATACTTTGCATTTAAACCAAATACTCAGCCCAGTAGCAAATTGTAGCACGATAACACAACGAATGATGAAAGTTTCAGCAAATCCTTTTATCTACAGCGGTAAAACAGCGTCTATAGTAAGGGCGAGGCGTAGACTGTGAGAGAGGCTTGGCCTTTTCCAGACACTGGCCAGATATAACCAGGATTGTTCTTCAGACTTCTCTTCTGGGCTGCACTGCTGGCCTCGACTGTTGGTCTTATCTGCTGGTCTGTGTTCAGCACCTTTCTGTGCCTCAAGCTGCGTCTCTGAAGACTTCGTTGACGGTGCTGCTTATATGGGGACTTCCTAACCGTAATGGCCGTGAGCCCCGTCATGAACACGTGGCGACCGTCAAGTCTTTATCTGGGCCCCGTTCCTCAAAGCGATCGTAGCGCTATGACAGTCGTAAGTCTGTGTTAAAGTATGTGAGTTACGATCATCTTAGCGCTACGATCGCTTTGAGGCCCTGGTCAGTTGTCAGTAGCATATTTCTACACTCACCGAGGGGGCTCCATCTATATTCTCCGTTGTAGTATATTGGCTACTGTCCAGTGTCTCCATATAAAGGCATTAAAAGATGTTGTTCCCTATGTTGCCACTGTTAAGAAGTGGGCAGCGGAGTACAAGGACAAGAAAGCCAAAAAGATTATCCAGGAAGACCTTCAACTGCTGCCATGTAGGAAACTGTCGATACTTTACATCATAGGTGAGGTGAGGTGAAATTTGTTTTTTACGTCGTGCTTAAGAATATTTCGCTCATATGACGACGCGCATCCGTGTGTATGTGTATGTGCGGCTGCTTGTACAAGCCCAGACTGAAGCTGTTTTTAAAGTGCTAGCCCACTGGGATACCATGCCGCAGTGAAGCATGAATACCCCACTCAGACACATTATACTGACTCTGAGCCGACCAGTCCTTGTTGTACCCATTAATGCCGAGCGCCAGGCAGGGACAAACAAGTACCATATTTTAACGTCTTTTGGTATTCCATCATAGAGTAATGTATGATCGACAACGCTCACTCCAGATAACCAAGACAGAGGGCAGCATGCCATGTGCCATTCTAGGCAATGAAGTGGGTATGTCAAATGTTTCGGCTTGCTGGATGCTAAGGCCTAAAAAAAAAGAGTTCATTTTCTGGTGAAAACCTACGCCGTTTTAACACAGACCTAGATGTATCCAACGGATGTTTCTTGGGGTCACCGCAATCAGCGAGACACTAAACATTCAAAGCAGTGAAAACATCCTACAACCCCTTAAAGGGAAATGTTTGTTTAGATGTTTAGTATTTAAAGGCACCTTACACTTGAACAACCTATAACAACGCCAGGCTATAAAGGTGATCGGTGTGTTGCTTATCTAATTCGCCATCTACATGAGATTATTAGGGTTGAATGTCGTAGACACATGGACTCGTGGAGATCCGGGTTAAAATTGATCTTCAGTAACCCATGCTTGTCGTAAGAGGCGACGAACGGGATCGGGTGGTCAGTCTCGCTGACTTGGTTGCCACATGTCATCGGTTCCCAATTGCGTAGATCGATGCTCATGCTGTTGATCACTTGATTGTCCAGACTCGATTATGTACAGACCGCCGCCATATAGCTGGAATATTGCTGAGTGCGGCGTAAAAAAAACCTAAATCACTCACTCAGTTTGTAAGACAATAAAACAGACATAACCACAGACGTCAATATTGAATTGGGGGTTGTTGTTTAACGCCCTGGGGCGGTGGGGTAGCCTAGTGGTTAAAGCGTTGGTTCGTCACGCCGAAGACCCGGGTTCGATTCCCTACATGGGTACAATGTGTGAAGCTCATTTCTGGTGTCCCCCGCCGTGATGTTGCTGGAATATTGCTAAAAGAGGCGTAAAACCAATCTCAGTCAGTCAGTCAGTTTAACGCCCTACTGTTCAATACCTCTCCACATGATGGAAGCCGATAATTGGAATAACCAACCAATTATTGATGTCGTGCTCGTCTGGTCATGTGCTTGAGGCTAGCGGCGTTAAGGAATCACGTTACTGTTGACATGCTGGGAACCCAATCCTCTTGGAAAATTAACACAATATGTTTGTAGATGATTACCCATGTGTAGAGATGATACTTTGCTACATGATCCTCAACGGTTCCAAGTGTGCTGATCGACCTCTTGTTGCTGGCGATCATTTTATATTGTACTGTCTTCAATAATAAAATAGTTTCAGATTAACATACTAGGTTTTATGATTGCCTTGGTTGTAAAGTCCCTTGATGACTTCAATTTGTTACAACATGTATTTATTATTTATGCAAAACCTTTCTAGTCACGGTATGGCTGAAATACTGCTGGTGTGACCCTTAAGTTAGTTTTGAAAAAGCTGAAAAAATCATATTTCGAATCAATATCTCGTCTATTTGTTAAAGATGTACCATTTCAACAAAGAAAGGTGTTGCATGCTAGTTATTGATGTGTCCAAAGCTTTTGATCGTGTGTGGCACAAAGGGCTTACACTTAAATTGGAGATGTATGGTATTAGAGGCAAGCGTTTACTGAGGATCTCGAGTTACATAAGTGATCGTGGTCAACACGTTTGTATAAATAGAGCTGTATCCAAACCCAGATATTTAACAACTTCTTTCAGAGGCATTTAGCAGTTGGATCAATAAGGAAGGATAACAATATGGATGATCAACTTCTTTATTAAGAGAGAGAGAGAGAGAGAGAGAGAGAGAGAGAGAGAGAGAGAGAGAGAGAGAGAGAGAGAGAGAGAGAGAGAGAGAGAGAGAGAGAGAGAGAGAGAGAGAGAGAGAGAGATGGAAACGTGAGGCCTGCAGCATAAACAAAGGGATGGTGAAGTCTCAGTGATGGGTCTCTTTGATGAGTTGGTAGTTTGCCGGAGGTATATAACAGCCTTGGTCAAGGTTTATTGATGGATGGAGTCTTTTGATGTAGATCCAACTCCAAGAAGCTATCTACATCAAAAGTCTCCAACCGTATCGTCTTAACATTAGGGCTTCCACGGGTACTCGAGTACTCGAGAACGAGTCGGGTTTAGCTGGACTCGAGTCCATTTTCAAGGACTCGAGGACTCGAAAAGGGGAGATAACTCGAATTATTGACGTTGACGGACTGTCTGCCATGTGCTAAGCATGAACGGCCGTTAACGTCTAATATTAAGAAAAAGATATACTAGTAACTTTATTATCCCGGAGGAAATTCTCATACATCCAAACTGTCTCAAAATGAATATATACACAGTTCACAAAAATATGCAAAATAATTACATGCTCAAAACGAATGCTATTTACAAATAAAGCTGACATGATATAATTCAATTAACCACATAGGTAAAAAGGCTGAATAATTCTAGTTTTAATCACATGATGATGATTCAAAATATTTGTAGCATTCACGAATACTTGATGGTATGAAAGACTGTCGAGATCTGTTTTGAGGGAAGGTAATCGACAGCAGCGTCCAGAAGGAAGTAGTTCAAAATGGTGAGATCAAATATGTCAACTATCAAATCTAATTTTAGCTGCCTTTTTGATTATACTCGAAAGACACTCCAGAAATTTTGCAAGCAGTATTAACAATTTTGAAAAGTCTGTTTTTGTTGCGATGAGACAGATCCCCATACCAACATAGAAAATTGTAGAGTCAACACACTTTGAATAAAGGTTTGAAAAACTGTCATTACGGTTTTGTCAATGCCTTGATGATAATAATGTTCAGAATCAGAAATTAGGCCAGTAACAGTGGCGTCATCTGCAAATTTCACAGTAAACAAGTCATATATTGACAAGTAACAGTCATGATGATTGGTATACAAAACGAAGCGTACGAACGAAGGAACACAGCCATGTGGATCTCCAGCAGAGGTTGAGAGAAAAGAAGATTGATAGCCATTGACACTGACATACTGAGTTCTATGTACCCTGAATTCTTTAACCCATCTGATAATGTTTTCATTAACACCTAGATTAAATAGTTTACTCCTCACACGGTGTGGCTGTATGGTATTAGTTGTTACAAGTCTGCAGATGAGAGTAAATATTATACATCGATTGAGATTTCACTTCTGAAAATGATTAGGTAACTATCTTGACAATTGAAAGTTTGCTTGAAAGGTATGAATTTCGAGTACTCGGGTCCGAGTCGAGTCTCACCCCTCGAGTACTCGAGTCCAAAAAAATGGACTCGTTGAAGCCCTACTTAACATGAAAGATTCTGCTTCTTGTTACTGCGGCAATGCTTGTGAAAATGTACATCACTTCCTATTAGAATGTAAATTGTATAACATTCAAAGAGTTACATTAATGTTAAATGTGAAATGTATTGTAAAGCGTGACTCTCCAATGACATTGTAACTTGGAAGTCCAGATATGACTATTCAACGGAATGAATATGTTTTCAAATGAGTACAAACTTTTATTTATCAATCAAAACGTTTTTGAGTAATCAAATAATGACTGTCCCTTCCTCTCTTCTCTCTCTAACTTTCTTACACGTTCTCTCTATTCCTTCCTAAGATCTATAATATTGAAAATGCATGTATGTAAATGTCAGTGAACATAAATTTATTTGGATAACTTGTCCCCAATCCCTTTCACAATTGTGAATAAAATATCTTTAAATCAAATCTGTAGGACGGTGGGGTAGGCGAGTGTATAAAGATTCGCTCGTCACGGCCGATGACCCGGGTTCAATTCCCCACATGGGCACAATGCGTGGAGCCGATTTCTGGAGTCCCCCGTCCTGATATTGCTGGAATATTGCTTAAACCATACTCACTCACTCACTTTGAATCTGTTTTCAGTGGTCGACTGTGGCCCACCTGACCCTTTACCCAGCGGTGTTTTCGTGTACAACACAACGACCTATACTTCCCGGAGTATTGCCATTTGTAACACAGGTTACACTCTGTCGGGTTCTTCCAACGTGGAGTGCTCAGCTGAAGGGCGGTGGCAACCGTTCAACGTTTCGTGCAACAGTGAGTACGATTTCCATATTGTTTTTATGGCATTGATGGTAGTCACTTACATATTATTCATATGCGTTTAAATGCATTTATTTTATATAATGACCCAATTGCTTCTCATGCGAAAGAAAATGTTTTGCGAGTAATGAATGTGGCCGGACAGGTTTGGTTTGGTTATCGTTTTACGCCTCACTCGGCAATATTCCAGCTACATGCGGCGGTCAATAAATAATTCAGTCTGGACCAGACAATCCAGTCATTAACAACATGAGCATCGACCTATACAATTGGGATACGATTACGTGTGTCAACCAAGACAACGAACCTGACCACTCGATCCTGTTAGTCGCATCTTACGACAAGCAATTCTAATCCGGGTCCCCGTTTCAGAATGCTATCGTAGCGTTACGACTGTTGTACCTCCTATACAGGGCCTAGATTTTCGAAGCTCTCTTAGCGTTAAAATAGTCGTAAGTAACATACATTAACATTAACTTACGACTATCTTAGCGCTAAGAGAGCTTCGAAAATGTAGGCCCTGTAACATAAACTTACGACAGTCGTAGCGCTACGATAGCATTCTGAAACGGGGCCCGGATCGTCACGTGTCATGGGAGGACAGAATACGGACAAACAAGTCGTTTAATGCTCTGCATCTTACTGTGCAAAGGTTCCTCTTTTGTGGGAGCGAAGATTCAATGTTCGGCGCTTCCTTGACTCACCCATATCATGAGTCAAGGGACCCGTGAAAATCCAGGGTAGAATAGGTCTTCAGCAACCCATGCTTGCAACAAAAGGCGACTATGCTTGTCGTAAGAGGCGACTAACGGGATCGGGTGGTCATGCTCGCTGGCTTGGTTGACACTTGTCATCGGTTCCCAATTGCGCAGATCGATGCTCATGCTGTTGATCACTGGATTGTCTGGTCCAGACTCGATTATTTACAGACCGCCGCCGTATAGCTGGAATATTGCTGAGTGCGGCTTAAAACTAAACTCACTCACTCACTCAGGAGTCAAGGGTTGTCACTTCCGATGCTGTAAGGGTTCATTAAGACAATTAAACGTCTTCGACATTTCATTTGTATTCCCACCACCATTAAGATGCCAGGTTATGGAATAACTGAGTGCTGTTCCAAGTCGCATGAAGATGAACCTTCCCTCCTGAAATATTACCAAAATGACATTTTGCATTATGTGGCAGTTTCTGTTCACAGTTGTTGATTGTGGACTTCCTGGTTCTATTCCTGACGGCAGTTTTAACTATAACACCACAACCTACGGTTCTCTCGGCCTTGTTATCTGCAACCCTGGATTCAACTTCTCTGGTAGCAACAACAGTGTATCTTGCACGGAAAGTGGCCACTGGGAAAATGTTTCTGGAATTTGTAAAGGGTATTTTCACGTTGTTGTTGTTTTTCGATTTGCTTTCAGTTCACTGAGAACATATGTTCCCCGAGAACAGGTATGATAGTTCAAACTTGGAAGATATAGACAGACAGGCAGAAAATTGTATTTAAGTCTCACCTTATATATACATAGTGCACGTACATATAAATATTGATAAAATATACAAGCCACTCCGACTGGAGTTATGAGACAAAGCATACTAGTATATTAAAAGATGAAATAGCATAAAAAGATAGTAAAGTTTAAAATGTATTATTTATAGTGAGTGAGTGAGTTTAGTTTTACGCCGCACTCAGCAATATTCCAGCTATATGGTGGCGGTTTGTAAATAATCGAGTCTGGACCAGACAATCCAGTGATCAACAGCGTGAGCATCCACCTGCGCAATTGGGAACCGATGACGTGTCAACCAAGTCAGCGAGCCTGACCACGTGATCCCATTATTCGCCACTAAAAGCATGGATTACTGAAGATTAATTCTAACCCGGATCTTCATGGGTAAACCTTTTTATATTAGATATACTTCAAGTATGCAAAATATCCTTGCAGGTTTGGCACTAATAAAGATAAATAAGGGCTTGGCTAAAACGTGACATATCTTTTCAACATCAGGCATATCTCTAAGTGTAATATCATGCCATTTGTAAAAAAGCAGCATCCTGATGTGGTTGTAAAAGGGGCGATGTAGTAAGACGTGTGATTCATCCTCAGTTATGTCCTTGCAGTAGAAGCATAATCGTTTATATATGGGCAAGTTTGCTTATCTTCCCGTTTCCATCTAAAAGGCACAAGTGCTCGCCTGTTTGCACGATTCTCATTACATGACATATAACTTTAACATGAATGTGCCATTTTAAAAGTCTTGTCCACTCGTATGTGAGTTAGTTAGTGAATGAGTTTAGTGTTACGCCGCACTTAGCAATATTCCAGATTTATGGCGGCGGTCTGTAAACAATCGAGTCTGGACCAGACAATCCAGTGATCAACAGCATGACCATCGATCTGCGCAATTGGGAACCGATGACATATGTCAACCAAGTCAGCGAACCTGACGACCCGATCCCGTTAGTCGCCTCATACGACAAGCATTGGTTACTGAAGATCAATATTATAACCCGGACCTTCACGGGTATCTAATCGTATGTTTACATATTTGTTAATGTGTAGCTAAACAATCATAAATACTAAACATATCTATTAATATTAAGCTGGGGGTTCATAAGAAACCGAAGTAGGTTCCCCGAGAGAGTGAACTTATATTCAAGCCGTATTCGTCGTAGTCTTCTGATTGTCTCTGACCTATATTAGTGTGTGAGCGAGTAAGTATGGTTGTGCGCCGCTTTTAGCAATATTCCAGCAACATCACGGCGGGGGACACCAGAAATGGGCTTCACACATTGTACCCATGTGGGGAATCGAACTCGGGCCTTCGGCGTGACGAGCGAATGCTTTAACCACTAGGCTACCCCACCGCCCCGAACTATATTATATATATTGGGACATATGCACTCACTTTAGCTTCCTATCGATACAATAAAAGTTATTATCCCTTACGACTTGCCTGAAATCAGTTATTGCTCCATGCATCGAAAACTGTCGCACGCGGTGTTGTCGGTGGTTGCCGAACTGGTTTCAATCACAATTTGCATTAACGCGCTGGAATATTGCTAAAGCGACGTACGGCTAAACTCAGTCACTCACTCACTCACTGATCAGCTAACTGAGACACAAACATATCTCTACAATCAGAGACGAAGGTATCCTAATGATTAAAGCGTTCGCTCGCCACTCCGAAGTCCCGGGTTCGATTCCTAAGATGGATACAGCCTGTAAAGAGGATTTGGTCATGTCCCTCGCCGTGATATTGCTGAAGGCGGCATGAAATCATGATCAAGTAACAGCTAAACACTACTGAACAATTAGGTCCAAAAGGGGCGGCGAGGTAGCCTGGTGGTTAAAGCGTTCGCTCGTAAACACCAAGGTCAGAGCTCGATTCCCAGCATTGGTACAATGTGTGAAGTCTATTTCTGGTGTATTGCTGGAATATTGCTTAAAGCGGCGTAAAAACCAACTCACCCACTAAGGTCCAGTCGTCACGATATGGCTGAAATATTGCCGATGTGACGTTAAATATTAACTCACTCACTCACCCACTAAGGTCTAGAAAAAAAGGTTTATTTTACGCGTATTTTCTAATTCAGGATAATTTATATCTTTCCTGATCCTAATACGTAGGTGGTGATTCCTCCAACAACGAGATCGGTTTTACAGTATATGCTCACTTTTTCTTCCAGTGGTTGATTGCGGCCCTGTACCTGAAGCCCAAAACACGCTCATGTCCTTCAACAGCACAGTGTTTGGATCAACTGTCACTATCACATGTGTCAATAATACCGACCTATATAATGCTACTAACACAGGGGTATGTGATGAACGTGGCCAGTGGATAGGGGTGCCTGTGTGTAAGAAAAGTGAGTAATAGTTTTATGGAAATATAAAGTTTAAATGTTAACTTTGAATACAAAACTTTAATTTAAAGAAACTGATTTTTGCAATTGGAGACGTGTCAAAAGGAACTGAATAGGTGCCCAGCACTTTCATAAGAGACCTGTATGTATTAACCTGTAATACGATGCTCATGATATCAATCACTGTTTTGCCTGGCCCTATTACTGCAATATTTCTCCGTAAAACAGCAGGCATTAATCATAGTAGTTCTGAATTGATCTTTGTAGACCTTTAATAATTACTGACTGAAAGGTTTGCTTTAGTTTACATTACAGTAACGTTTGTTTGTATGTTGTTTAACGCCACACTCAGCAATATTCAATACGGACTGTTAACCTTCTAGCGCTTCACATGCAGCGTGGGTTGCAACACACATCAATCTATTGACCAGGGTTAGAGCAGTCTAAGTACACAAAATATAATGTTTTTGTGATCGTCATTTGTGTTTTGTCATTTTACAATGATTACAAGTAATGTAATATTGATGTTTAGGAATTGTTGTAAAGTAATTTTTGTTTGCCTGTTTTCTTCAGTACTGAAGTAAAAATCGATCTCAATTTCACATCGGTAATTCCTTGACACATTCACTTGGAACCGTAGATTTAACATGACAATAACATCGATGTTACATACGCGAGAATATCTTAACTATATGATGTTCAGTGTACGACAATGTTTCATTTTCCAGCTTTTGAGTGAGTGAGTTTAGTTTTAAGCCGCACTCAGCAATATTCCAGTTATATGGCGGCGGTCTGTAAATAATCGAGTCTGGAACAGACAATCCAGTGATCAACGGCATGAACATCGATCTGAGCGATTGGGAACCGATGACATGTGTCAACCAAGTCAGCGAGCCTGACCACCCGATCCAGTTAGTCGCGTCTTACAAGCATGGGTTACTGAAGGCCAATATTCTAACCCGGACCTTGACGGGTCTTCCAGCTTTTGAAATAAAGAGAGTTTGAAATATTCAGATTCTCCACCGATATACATGTTTTGGTTCAATGAAACATACATTGCTTTCAGACTTTCAGTCAATTGACGGCTGGGTCTTACTGCTTCGTGCCACAGCCGACGTCAACATATCGGTGTACGACGTGTGGATGGATGACACCATATACCATGATCACCCGGTAGTGAATGAGAATTTGCAACCCGGATGTATGACCCTTGACACGTCACTTCCGTGTGATATGCATTTTAAAAGTAAACTGGTATCAACGTGGGAAAACGCCAGTATTGGCCAGGTAATTGCAATGTATTGTTAAAGTCACATCACAGATGGACCCGAATGTCTCCTCTGATGAAAACTGAGATCTTTTTAATATTCAAGTCTTATTTTCAAATGATGAGACGAGGCACAGCATTAATTAAACAGTGGTAAACGGAATGGAAGAAGTGATGGTCTTCTATAAAACAGTCGGATATAATATTTTATCGTGTAATGAAAACTGAATCGGAAATAAAATATTTTCGCAAATAATTGTGTTATATTTGTCACATAAGTTTGTGTAAGAGGTCATAATTATACAAATTTAATTATTATTTTCAGGTAAAAGTTGTCGTATTAAAAGAGAACACTGTCAAAGCAGAGGTTGTTTTTTGATGGAGCCGGGACCACGAAAGACAGCTGGTTTGCCCCAAACCGCATCATCAACTCCACCTGGACAGACATTAAAACTTCGAGATTTAATATTTTCAGACTCAGAGGGTAGTACCATTCATTGAAATCACATCCGACACAACTTGTTTCTTTTGGTCTAGACACGTGAAGATTCTGGTCAACTTTTTTTCTTTTGGTCTAGACACATAAAGAACCAGGTTGGAATTGGTCTTCAGTAACCCTTGCTTGTCGTAAGAGGCGATTAACGGGTCGGGTCGTCAGGTTCGCTGACTTGGTTGACACATGTCATCGCATCCCAATTCATAGGACTGATGCTCGTACTGTTGATCACTGGATTGTCTGGTCCAGATTCAAATATTAACAGACCGCCGACATATCGTTGAGTACGGCGTTATACAGCAATCAATAAAATCAACCCTTTGGTCTAACCCATGAAGATCCGCCGCCATATAGCTGGAATTTTGCTAAGTGTGGCGTTAAACAACTAACATCTTTTGGTCCTTTCATGATTAAGTCATATTTTCAACTGAACGTAAACAAAAGTCTGATTTTGTGATGATCATCGTATTTTATCGCATATTCTCCCCTCTTGGGTTTAAGGCAGGGCGAAATCAACCGTCGGTTCCAGATAAACAGCTACTTTGCGGGTTGTCGAGGGGACGTTGGATGGCTTGTTGTCGTAGATAAACTCCACAATAACCCTTGTTTCTGGGAGAAGGCTGCTTCCAAACCAAATATTTTGTACAGTGCCGGAGTAAACGCATCAGTGTGTGCTGGTAAATATGACAATTAGTTGAACAACTATATATTTAAATGACAGTATTGGAAAAGAGTGAACTACTTATGGTTGTTAAACCATTGTGTAACCCCTTGGAAAAATATTTTAAGTTAAATTCCAATTAATGATTTCTTTTTTATTTTCAGAGTTTGAATCCGGCGATGTTATGGCGATACTGACAAAACAAGAAAACTCAGCATGATTTCTCATTATTTGTGACAGATGATTAAACTCATTTACAGTCCGTTTGGCTCAAAATTGCAATCTAACATATAATACACAATGAAACGCTGATCATAATCAAAACATCGGACCAACAGAATTTATGTCCTAAAAATAACAAAGTTGTTTGAACTAACTGTCATTAAAATATTGACACAGTCGGCGGATGACGTCAGTGGGAATCCTGTTCCATAAGTCCAAGAAAGTATGTTCAAGTTCCTGTCGGTTCGTTGGAGGTGGTACACACGGTCTCAGCTGACACTCAAGATAATCCCAGAGATGTTCAGTGGGGCTGTTGTCGTGCTGCAAAATGACTCCTCTTGGCTGTTGTCGAATAAAGGGCACCATGAATAAAGGTCCCGAATCTGTTCCAGAGGGGGATCTGCCGGTCTTCGGCCGGCGTTGTGTGTGACTCTTGGTCTTCCCGATCTTGAGCGGACTTGAGTCTGGCCTGTTTGGTGGTGGCGGTTGGTGACCTACATACCTACATACGCAAGAACGCACGCACACACGAAATTGATTAATAATTAACTCAATAAAGGGCCACTGATGCAGAGCAATTTCCGTGGACTGGTTGTTGCTTTTGTTATTGTTTTTCTCCCGTGAGTACCCGGATGATATCCCAGAATTCATGACTGGTTCATTACCTCTGCTGCACCACCCTCATGCGCAACTGATAGTATAGGTATAGACTGATCAACGAAGATGAAATCTTTTTTACTCGATAATCTTGATTTTGTTGTAAATTTATGTAGACTGCATGTGATGAATAATTTGGTTTCTTATAAAAAAATATTCACTTTGATAAAAATGCTGATTTTGATGTAAAATTTTTCATTTCATAGTAATGTTGACTTTATAAAAATGTTAACGTAAATGTATGTAGAATTTGATTTAAGAAATAGTTTGACCTTGAATTTGGTGAGAAGCCTGATATAATAGCATTGTTTGAAAGTAAGGCTAACTAAGTACATGGGGAATCTTGGGAAGAGTAGTGAGCTTGGGTTCACTACTAGTCAATCTGAATGCTTATTAAATGGCAATATTTTGCAGACCAATGAAAACATTTTAAGTTTAACCATCTGCCAGTGGTAAAAATGTTAGGACTGAAATAACAGAAGTCAATGTACGTCTTTATATTTTGTCTTATAATCCTAATTAGTTTATTATCATATTTGTATGCATTTTGAAACTTAATAATATGCACACGATCTGCTTATACTTAGTGAATTTATAACATGACTGTAATATCTAGACATCTTATAGATTTCCAACGTGTATCATATTTCCAGGGAGACTATATAAGGGGGGAGTGGTCACTCCTCGGAAAGCCCCTTAGCGTATGCCTCGGCTCGTCACGTGACCAGTGTAGCCAATATGGCTGCAGCGTAGTTTTTAAGATTGAGCCCGGTTTATTTTCAACAGCTGATTACATACGCTGAGTGTTGTGACAACTGAAAACCTACATGTAGAAGATAGGTTACCTATTCTGTCACTTCATTTTAAGTCAAATAATTGTTATTAGTGTCAGTATTAGTACAGTAGATTTGTAGAAATGTTTCAAGTCGGCATGATGTAGCTCACTGGCTTCAATTCTCAGTACACAGCGAAGAAAGACTAAATTCTATCGCTAAAAACTTCTTTCACATATTCGTTTAATTTTTAGAAAGGGAAATATACCTTTAGTTGAAAGGTGTTTGCAAGTAATAGTGATAGTTTTATAACTAAAAATAAATTGTTAGGGTGTATTTGAGGTGTGTGAAAAATATGACATACCGCCGATCTGCCATTGAAATACTACAGGGCGTTGTTTGAGTGTTTCTAGTTATTGTTCTAAAACATCTTTCACATACACCTTTAATTTTTATGAGGGGAATATACCATCAGGTGAAAGGTGTTTGCAAGTAATAGTGATAGTTTTATAACTAACAGAAATTTGTTAGGGTGTATTTGAGGTGTGTGAAAAATATGACATATCGCCGATTTGCCATTGAACTACTACAGGGCGTTGTTTGAGTGTTTCTAGTTATTGTTCTAAAACATCTTTCGAATATACCTTTAATTTCTATGAGGGGAATATACCATCAGGTGAAAGGTGTTTGCAAGTAATAATGATAGTTTTATAAATTTTAAAAAATTGTTAGGGTGTATTTGAGGTGTGTGAAAAAAATGACATGTCGCCGATCTGTTCTGATACGCCATTGATGCTTGTGATGATTGAGTGTTATAGTTCTAACACAGCAAAAATAACTTCGTTTACGGACACCGGAAACCTAACTGAAACAAAATGGAAACCTAAGTTTCAGTTAGGTTTCCGGACCGTTTTCTGTACATTTCCTTAAAGTGTCCGGGAAACGGAAACTTACAAATTACCCACAATCCGGTAAGGCTCTAGTGCGTTTCCGTTACCCAGATTCCCGTAAGGCTCCAGTGCGTTTCCGTTACCCAGATTCCCGTAGGGCTCCAGTGCGTTTCCGTTACCCAGCTTCCTGTAAGGCTCCAGTGCGTTTCCGTTACCCAGGTTCCCGTAAGTTTCCAGTGAGTTTCAGTTACCCAGATTCCTAAGAGGTGCCATTGGGTTTCTGCTATCCTCTACTTTCAGTTCCTCTACTTTCAGTTGGTTTCAGTTATTTACTTAATTCAATTAGGTTTCCCTTTGATTTCCGTTTCTATTAATCACATTAACCATATTCCATAAGTTTCAGCAAATCGTCGTCGCAAGGTCTTCATTTTTGCCATGGCTCTGGAGCATGCTAACGCCATTCGTTCATTGTCCAGTAGGTGTGCGGAAAAACCTGTGGACAAAAACCCCTAGCCTTGGGAAAAAAAAACCCCACCATGTAGGACAAAAACCCCATCACAATTTGGGCACTAACCATCAACACAACCTGATGTTATGTCCCACACCGATCAGAAAGTCTTCAATGGAGATCTTAGCATCTCTTCGATTGGATTACCTCCATGCTGGAATGCTACTGCCTGCTTAGTTTATGGAGCATATATTTATACCAGTTGTAATATGATAGTGAGTTGAAATATTTCATAATGTATACACATCTAACTATTAAGATAATTAATGAAGCCTGTTAGTCCCTATCAGGATAATCTCTTTACTGATTCAATCAAAACATGTCACTTAGGTCAATCACCAGTAGTGAAAACATATTTTGGGGTTTTGTACAGAGGTCCTCATTTGGAGGTTTTGTCCTTATGGGTTTTTTGTCCTAGGGGGCTTTTGTCCACAGGGTTTTGTCCTACAATCCCCAGTAAAGTCTTATAGTGTAGCAGCTTTCGCTTTCCCATGTAAATCCAACAGAGTGGACAAGATTACAGTCCTCTTCGTCGGACACCACAGGTGATGTCAATTCTGGGGTTAGGACTGCAGCCACCTTCTGTTTTCTTTTCTCAGTCCAGTTAATACTACTAGGGGCGGTGGGGTAGCCTAGTGGTTAAAGCGTTGGCTCGTCACGCCGAAGACTCGGGTTCGATTCCCCACATGGGCACAATGTGTGAAGCCCATTTCTGGTGTCCCCCGCCGTGATATTGCTAGAATATTGCTAAAAGCGGCGTAAAACTAAACTCAGTCAGTCAGTTAATACTACTAGATTCATCGGGCGCTGTTGGAGTTTCTGGCGGAAAAATACAATTCATGCATTCTGAAAGTTATGTCCAACATGTATTCTTGAGAGAGGCACTTGGTCTAATTAGATAATTTTATTACAGTTATGTTGTGGTGTGATAATATGTAGCGCATCATGTCAGTTAAATGACTAAGGGTGTTTCAAACTCTGGTGTCAGGAGGTGTATAAACCGGTACAAATGGTATTATATAGTCCAGTTTCAGGAACTTACAGATCCGATTCTTTTGTTTCTTTTAGCATCTCCCGTGTGATTTTGATTCTTTCCTGTAATCTGCAATGTCGGTGGTCCCTCTTGCTCTTCCAGGTTATCCAAAAGGCCTCTATTAAGAAAAGCAAATGCGTTCATTTTGATTTTTCAATAATATATTATTACAATCCGACAACACTTATTTTTATTATTATCATATTCACCATGTATCAAGTGAGTGAGTGAGTTAAAATTTAAAGTCACTTTGGGAATATTTCAGCCATATCGTGACTAAAACAACATATATATTAACAATAATTAAAGATAGAGTATAAAATCCTGTCAACGAAGGACAGTAAAAAAAACCTATAATATAACAGATATAAATGTAAAACTAGTAATTAAATCTAAAACATTTTAACTATAGAGTGAGTGAGTTAATATTTAACGTCACATCGGCAATATTTCAGCCATATCGTGACGAGAACATTTTACATTGTAATGGAATATGTATATATTATAAAACCTGTCATCGAAGGACAGTAAAGCAACTAGAGTATCACAGATATAGATATGTAAAACTAGTAATTGAATCTAAAACATTTTAACCATAGGGGACAACACAATCTAAAAATGGGCTATAGATCGCTAACAACTGAAGGTAGATCACCATACTAGGGACCATGGGGACTTACAGTACATTTGCTTCCTGCATGGGCCCTAGCTGGATTTATATCATCCCCTCAGCCGTTAGCAATTAAGACATATCTAGCCATACATTAAAATTACAAATATTCTACGATTAAAAAACGGAAAGTTGAAATTTACTTTGAATGTTTTGGGACTTACGTACCCTCTCAGGAGGACAATAATTTTACAGTACTTTAACCCCCCTCGAGGATACAGCCACTAACAATCCATGTTACTAATTCAAACTTCCAATCATAAAATATTTAGCTATTTACAAATCTGTTAACAAATTTAATTCTTTTAAAAAGCAATAATTAAATGAGGACTTATATTAGTAAAAAAAAGATCCTTCATAGTTCGGGATTTGAAATAGATATCCCTTGTGATGGAGTACTCAACGCAGTCAAGCAAGAAATGTTTGACTGTGATTCGTTCATCACAAGGGATACAAAACGGAGGATCCTCACCTTTAATAGGTACTCATGCGTATATCTAGTGTGGCCAATACGACATCGTCGCATAATGACCTCTTCAAATCTGGACTGACAACCCAAGTAAGTGTAACCGATATAGGGTTTTATTGCATGTAATTTATTGATACCTACTTGG